AGATGGGGAAGAGACATCGAGGTGGTATAAGACAAATTTTCTGCAAGGCAATTATAGCAAATACCAAGCAATAGCTATAGCAAGGGACACACAACAAATGGAGCTTGTGATTGATGATTGCAGAATTAACTTTACCGATGCATTCAAACCGCTAGGTATAATTATTGATAAGGACTTGAATTTCTCGCAGGATATATCAGAGGTCTGCATAAAAAAACAGTATAATGATTGGTGTTCTTCAAAGGCTAAAGAATCTAATCCCGATGAACGCAAAACTATGGATATATAAAACTGCAGTTTTACCCCATCTCACATACTGTAGCTTGGTGTGGCACTTTCGTCGTGCAAGTGACAGAAACAAGCTAGAGAGAATTAATGAAAGAGGACTACGTACAGTCTTCAAAGATCGAGTCTCTCCTTATGGTGACCTTCTTACACACGCTGGAATGACTAGTCTATATAACATGAGATTACAAGATATCGCTATCTTTATGTTCAAAATAAGGAATAGATTACTGCCTTACAACATACTAGAACTCTTCTCGTCATCGCCTTCGAACTACAAACTGAGGAACTCGGACTTTCATGTTCAAAGGGTAAAAACTGTTAAATATGGAAAGCATTCCCTCAGATTTTCTGGGCCATTTTTATGGTCAAAATTGAGTATGAAGGACAGAAACGAGACCTCTTTAAGCAGGTTTAAAGCAAATATAAGGAGAAAAGATCTGAGCAAATTGGTTAGTGATAGCGCATGCAAAGGGTTCCACTTGTGTGACTCATAATTCATAAACAGAATATATCATAACTAGTAGAGTTGATATATTATAACATAGTTTATTCTTATTTATTACAGAGGTGTATTTTCGAAGCATACTGAATATCGTGTATCTTTTAAGTAGTTTTAGAATAGTTAAATCTTATTAGCTTATAGTACTATGTATATATATTTCTTATTAATAAGTAATTTAAGTAGTGTCCCCGATTAGTAGGCCTGATGGCAAGCTAGAAGATTGGACACTTAAATAAAGTTGTTGATTGATTGATTGATTGATTGATTGACTGAGCAATCGATGAAAATCAATGGATAACAATCGGTTATCAATTTCATTGATTGTTCGGGTCCTATTTAATGCCATTCCATCCGGGGCCATTCAAGGGATGTTACTCAGTAACTTCCACTGAAAGGGCCTTCTTGATTTGCTAAGAGGCTTGATCGAGGCGAAAAATTAAAACATTATTTCCAAACGGATGCAGTAGCATCTTCTTGGTTGAATCAATTGAGGGATGATCGAAAAAGCAAGACAAGACCTTGACACAAACCGTCAGATTATCGGACAAATCAGAGTGGACGATCGGAGCAGAAGCATGCATGAATTAGGGATGGACCATTTTATTTTTTTTGGGGGTTGGGCAATTACCAAAAAAAAATTCCTGCATAGCAAAAGTCAAGAAAAAAAAATCATGCACAGTGGGCCAGGGAAAAAAAAAATTCGAGCAAGCCTTTCTACTGGTAGGATCCTGCTAGAGCAAATAAAAAGGTAATCTGTAATTTTTGTCAATTTTATTTCAGCAGACCAAAAACGCTGTTAAACTGTTTGTAAAATAATTCACTTCTTTGTGTTTCATATCATAAATATCAAAAATACAACATTTCCATCCATCTCTTGTAGTAAAACATAAATTTGAACCATTTCACTGAATCTGGTATAATATAAAAATCATGTCTTAAAATATCATTTATATTTAAATATAACTTGTATTATAAAATGACTTTCAGCTATCTTCAACATATCTCATATATATTTACTAAATAACAAAAACTGTAATGTCTTATAGTGGCTATGTTTCGGCCCCTTGTTCTGCCGCTTCTTCCACTTCTGCCCCTTGTTCTTTCACTTCTTCCACTTCTGCCCCTTGTTCTGCCGCTTCTTCCACTTCTGCCCCTTGTTCTGTCACTTCTTCTGCTTCTGCCCGTGCCCCTCCTTCTGCCATTGCTTCTGCTTCTGTCACTGTTTTTGCTTCTGCGCCTGCTTTACTCTTCTTTCTTTTTTTGTTTTTTTCATTTAATTTCTTGCGCTTCCTCAGCAGAGATACATGAGAAGCTGAAGAGCCAAACTTCTCTCTAGGTATCTGGACCATTTGGTTTGCCCTTTCCAAAATGGTGCCAATCTCTCCTTCAACACTTAGGATACTGGGCCTGAGCTTGGAATAAAATTCCCAAGTTTCAAGGAGGCCTATAACAGTGTGAACATAGAAATTAATAAACAGTACATGTAATTTTTAAGCAAATGAAATATCTTCGCAGTAATGTACCCAACTTAAAGCAGTTGAGAAAAGCAAGCCTGAAAAAAAATTATGGCTTGAACGGGATTCGAACCCATGACCTCTGCGATACCGGTGCAGTCGCTCTACCACTGAGCTATCAAGCCAAGGGGTTTGGCCATTTGTGAGTTTGTTATATACCCGTAGATGGAGAGGATATGAGATGAATATATAAAATTCATATATTTGACGTACTGCGGATAGCCGCGGTACAAAAACACGACTTTCATATAATTTCATATATACATCTCAGTACATGTACTATTGGAGTTGAAGAAATTATTGTTAAAGTGATTCCTGTGAATGCATGGATACATAAAAACTGAAGTGGATTAAGACTGAGGGGCACAGCTACTCCACATGGCTTTATGCTGTCAAGCTGCATTTATCTCAAGGCTTTGTTACTGTAAGAGGGTGGGAAGTATTAAAATTTGCTAGGTGTTTTCTTAAGACAACATTTGTGTTTTAGATAAGATATTCAATACTAATTTCCTGGCATCGGATAAAAAGATCCAGGCATTTTTACAACATTTGTAATTCAGCTGAACAGAATTCCTTTATATTTATTTTTGTAACCCAACATGTAACACTGAATAGAATAAATGCAGCTTGACAGTATCGGCCTGGAGAGAAAGCACTGCTTGAGGTACATGTACAATCTTGTATAGACATACCCTATGGAATGCTCATTTTTGGTGATACTAAATATGAAGACTAAAAAAAAATGGAAAAAAAAAATTCGTGCACAACCTTTAGGTACTAAAAATAATTCGTGCACAGCCCAAAGGCGAAAAAAAAAATTCTTACCAAGCAAAAATTGCCCAACCCCCCCCCTCAAAAATAAAATGGTCCATCCCTTACAGGTAAATATATACCACGAGGTGAGTGTGACGTCATACGTTTACAGAATCCGACCGAAGATAAGGGGGCCTTCCGACGGATGTTAACGAGTGCTGACCTTTTGAAGTTATCTGCTGACATTTTACTAGTTTTCAAATGATCGCATGCACGAGTTTAACTTTTCTAATTCATATAAAATTTGTGTTGATGTGCCACACAGATTAAAATTTTGATTGACCTCAGACGTGAAAATTCAGTAACCTAGGATCAGCTATTACAGGCAAGGAAGACAGTTGCTTTTGACTTTTCTCACCATGGTCACATGTTGGTCACTACATCCAATTGTATGCTCTGATTGGTCAAAATTTGACTGATGAGTTCATGAGGAAAATTTATGCAGCATCTTGAAACTTTTTGACAGCTGAAGCTGACAGAGTGTTGTGTCAACTTGTGATGTTCTTAAGAGCAGCCATCTGTAAATATGGAGAATTTGCCGTCAAAGCGAAATTTCGAAATTCTTCATACTTCGTCAGTAAGTTCCTTTGGTAAAACATTTTCGAAAATTACAATCAAGGTTCCCCAAAAAATTCCTTTTTGGAGAAATTGGGCAAAACGTGAAATCCCGTGACAGCGTCATAGCCGCCATAAAAAAAAACTACGAATAAGCAGTTTTTCAAGTCGCTGGTTAAAATAGACGTGTCAACGTAACGAAATAATCTTTTGCAGGTGAGTGTGGCATTACAAGAACAACTCAAAAATGTAAAAATATTTCAAAAGAACTTTTTTTCTCGCATTGTTTTCGAAGCACCGAGATTCCTTGTCTTTGGGCCAAGATGAACACTGAAAATTGAGGAAACTTTGAAGGTAAAAATTGTAGCTGGGTACATGGAAATTCCTAATAAATTTTGTTCTACAAAAAAGCTCTAATGTTGTTTTAAAACATAAAAAATCTGGCTAGGGCAATTTGAAAGCCTCCGCTTGAGAGGGGTAAATGCGTAGTGAATTTTAACGTGTTTACATGAAAGTATTGCAACGGTCACGCAAGCACAAGAACACCCGTAATTGTCGATAACATTACAAATCGCAATAGCTGTTGAAGTAAATAGAAGAAAACTCTGTCGAATGTAAAAGTTCATGCTTAAATCGATCTTTTATAGCTTTTTATCTGTTATCATCCAGACATCTAAATTGTCAAAATTATTCGTGACCGCAACCAGAGGTCAAGAGCCGTTTGAAATTTGAGCAGCACGTGACAAAAGTGATAAACACTTGGAACAAGTAGATCGAAATTTCTCCAAAGATTACGGAAGAGTACTGGAAGCTGATTACTTTATGGGTTTTATAGGTACTCTCGGAAATATCTACAACTTATTCAAATTGCTAACTGCAGCTGTACTTACTAGAACAAGAACATGCATTGATCTGTTATGTTGCACCCTTCAAAGTATCGTTCATTTCTATTCATTTGTTGCACTCATTCTTAGGCTGAAAGTCGTTAACTTCTTAAAAACCTTCATGGATAAGATATACTTAAAGGACTAATATATCGTGCATATAAGAATTTATCAAAAGGGTTGGCACAGCAAACTAACTTCCTTTAAAAAATTTTAAAAAATTTAAAAAAGTACAAGGATCACCACGGGTGATGATTGCTAATTACTCTAGAGAACACGCCCCTTTCGGGCCAGCCTTCTGCGGGTTTAGTGTATCGGCTTTCAGATCGCTCCACGTTAGCTTTGAACAAGACATCGCTTATTTCGTTGATCTCATTCCGGGAACGAACGCCCTCTCGACTTTTATAGTCAATCTCTAGCGCTTAGTTGTTTCCACTCTCAGTCATGTTGCAAAAATCCAAGCAGAAATCCAGGTCCAAACCCCAAATGGAGGATTACGCTTTTCCATCGTCACCGCAACCTCAGCTATTCAAGCATTACGCTCAATTTCGTGACGACGAACCAGCTATTGGGTCTGTCCTCGGGCATCCTTCGGCTTCAGAAAGAAAACAACGTCTGGATGAAGAATTAGAGCTCGTGAAGCAGGAAAAAGAAAAGTTGGCGTTAGAACTGGAAGTGCTCCATTTACACCAAGTTCTCACACCAGCAACTCCCCCAACTAGATCGGCACATTGGACAATGCATTTCAACTTCATCTTCCAGGCATAGACAGACTGCGTGAGTTCATTATCAGCAAAGGCTCAGGTTGTTACGTTTACAAGAAAGATCTAAAACGTACGTACCGGCAATTCCCAATTGACCCAAAGATTATAAATATCTCGGTTTTATGTGGGGCATGGTCTTTTGTATTTCGATACTAGATGCCCATTCGGTCTGCGTTCATCAGTGTTAGTGTGTCAGTGAACTACTCGAGTGGTAATTCATGTTTTTACCAAGGAAGGTTATTCTGCCGACATCTATTTAGACGATTTTTACGGAGCCGAACATCCTGCTGATTCTCATTTCGCCTTTGCATGTCTTCAAGATTTATTTGATGAATTAGGCCTACAATCATCACCTGAAAAAGACTGTCATCCTTCTAAAAGGATGATTTGCCTTGGGATTTTGGTGGACACTGAGAAGATGCTCTTTAAAGTTGCAGCGGATCGCTTATCACACCTCAAAACGGAGTTATTGCAGTGGACACAATTTTCAACCTTTACACGGCATCAATTGCAATAGTTACTAGGGAAACTGTCATTTGTCACAGCTTGTGTCTGGCCAGGCCAGATATTTATGTCCCGCCTTTTAAATCGCTTGCACAGTTTGCCTTCTAAGCCGTCATGTTTTCCAGTTACCAGTGATATGCTATCTGACATTGACTGGTTGTTGACCCTTTTACCAAACTTCAATGGCTCCGCCATGATTGTGTTACGCACGCGTGACTTTGATGATGTGCTATTTACCTGTGATCCTTCTTTACATCGAGGTGGTGCTACGCGTTTCTACGAATGTACCGCGTTTGCTTTTCCCAGGGACATTGAAGAATTTTTCTTGCACATCAATGCATTAGAACTGTTTGTACTTGTCGTGGCTGTTAAGATTTGGGCCCCCAAGTTGGCAGGTTCTAGATTCCAGATTTCGTGTGACAACGATGCAGCCGTCCAGGTGGTGCGCTCAGGTTGTACACGTGATGCCTTCATGCAGCGTTGCTTAAGACAACTTTGGCTCACATCAGCTCGTTACGAGTTAGACTTACATGTCTCTCATATTCCGGGGGTCCACAATGTCTTTGCTGATTGCCTTAGTCGCTGGGATGCCGATTCTACGTTTCAACGAAAGTTCCATGAACTCGCTTCTCAGCGTAACCTTTGTTTTCACTTGTTATCCGTTGACAGCGAGGATTTAGCCTTTGACCGTTCTTAATGGATGCTTTGTGCCTTTGTTGCAGATCGTTGCAGGCCAGTTCAACCATCACCAGATATTCAAGCATTGGATTCTCTCGGATGCGACTTGATCTAGACAGCATACGCAGATTCAACCCGGCGGCCCTTGAACTCCCACATAAAGATTTATCTGACATTTTGCGAGGCTGTTTCGTCCGCTCTGTTTCCAGTGACTGTAAAATTAATTACACGTTACATAGCTTATTTAGTGTCACTCGGCCACGTTTATGGTACTATCCTGAATCATTTAAGTAGCATGAAGCATATGCATAAGTTTCTCGGTCATGATTTGACTTGGGATAGTGATTATCGTTATAAATTGTTGTTACGCAGAGTTAAGCGTTATTTAGGAACAGCAGTTCAGCGCAAGGCTCCAATCACTCCACGATTGTCATTATGCATTGTACACCTTTTCGATTTGGATAAGCCTTTGCATGTCGCTATGGGGGCGCTTTTTCTAGTAGCTTTTTACTCCTTTTTACGCAAGTCGAATTTGTTGATTGCGCTGCGCAAGTCTCGCCTAAGGTCCTTTTGCGGTCAGATCTTTGTTTTGATGCATTGTTCGCTTATCTCACAGTTCGCGCATCTAAAACTATTCAGTTTCAAGAACGCCTTTTTTCTTTACCCTTGCCACGCATTCCGGGTCGCTTGTTGTGCCCTGTAGCCGCTTTGGTTAACCACCTTTGGATTAACCAGGTACCCCAGGACATGCCATTATTCTCGGTTAGGTCCGATAGTTCATTGAGTCACATTACCTATACTCATTTTAGTTCTTTTCTGGCCAGGGTTATTAAAGCTGTCGGTATCGATTCTACTAGCTACTCCCCTCATAGTTTTAGGCGTGGTGGCACTACCTTTGCCTTTGAAGCTAAAGTACCATCTGAGTTAATTAAGGCACAGGGCGACTGGCGAAGTGACTGTTATTTACTTCTTCTTGAAATGACTGATCGATAAAAGAGGGCGGCTGCTACTCGCATGGCTGCCACTATTTCTCATATTGCTGTTTAGTTTAATCTTCCATTTCTTCAAGTTAATGTTTGTTATGCAAAACTGTCTCTTTTTCATGATGATAGAGATTCACGACTCCTATTAGTCCAGTTTCTTCACAATCTTCTTTTACATACCTGTCGTACTCTAAACATGCTCTACTTAAAGCAATTTGATTTTTTAACGTTCTTAAAATCATATTCTTCATCATTTTCTCCGGTTATCTTGTATCCTTTTTCAAGCAGTGATCCACGTCCGTGGTGGAAAGTGGAGTGCGGAAAATACCGTAAAATTCAGAAAATAACCCCCTCCGTGTATAGGCCCCTCCAAATATAAGCCCCCCAAACTGGTAATGCAAAAACCTCTCCGTTAAATCGCCCCTCCAAATATAAGCCCCCCCCCCGGGGGCTTGTACTTGGAAAACTGTCCCCGAATACAAAGCAAAAATGGTAACTTTACCTCCAACTATAAGGGGTAGCCCAATCGATTTGGAAACGCAAATTTACCTCCTTAGATAAGCCCCTCAAAAAGGGTCTTTGAAAGATATAACCCCCGGGGCTTATTTTCGGAATTTTACGGTAACTATAATTTTATGAAAGAAGGGGTGTAAGGTAATTTCTTATAATTCATATAAAATCAAATTTTCAGTAAAAATCGAAAATTGATAATTAACGAGAGCTGTTCATTGGTACTCTCTAGGATGACTCGACATCCATGCAGGTGCATTCCTTGGCAAGCTCTTTCAACAGGTTAACATATTGAGCTTTCCACTGTACTGGTGGAACAAGGACACCAAGTGTTTTGCCTAACCAACTCACAAATTATTTTGGCCACAAACTATCAGATAGGACAAGTTTAGTGAGGCCAAAATTGATTGCCGTGCGGTGACGAAGTTTTCCTCCTCATTAGCTGCTGTGACGTCCTCTTCCTCGAGTGCCGGTTCACTAACTGTTTGCTGTCGCACCTTTGCCACCAGCCTTGAAAAGAAAAATTCCCCAGGGATAACTAAGCAAACTAACGACCAATAAAATAGGACACACCATTTGTTTGGCATAAAGAGAGATTTATTTCAAGTAAAGCGAAAAACCGATAAAACACCCGAAGAAATAAAGCTCTCTGCCCACCATCTGGGTGGGAGGGATGGGTAAAGGAAATGTACAAATGGATCAAGGTGACGTTCGAGCAGAAACATGCAAGATGATAATTCGAGATAGGTGTACAATACGCCTGCAGCGCAGGTTAAACTACATGTAACAATAAATCACGTGCTGAACATGCAGCGAGATCAATAAAGCTATTACGCAATGCTGATGAGTGATACATGACAAAACCCACGAAATGATCTACGATGTGGGGAATTAATAATTTTGAAGCATCCTCCAAAATAAACAAATTCCCCGGGGATATCTAAGCAAACTAACAACCAATAGAATTGGACACACCATTTGTTTGGCATAAAGAGAGATTTATTTCAAGTAAAGCGAAAAACCGATAAAACACCCAAAGAAATAAAGCTCTCTGCCCACCAAAAGAAGCGCAAACAAAATGGTGTGTCCTGTGGAAAAGTACATAACACAATGAATTAAGAAAACAGAAACGAAGAACTAACGCGTTTAGCTACTGGTAACTTAGCCGGCAAGGAGAACTCTAGATAAATTTTATAGGCGTCAGAGGACCAGTCCCCGAAAACTTGAATGAGTTCTCCAGGAACTTGACACTGAAAAGCCCAATTCGCCCCTCCCCTGCGAAAAGAATGTCCACGATATGCATGTGCGTGGGGAATGGCTGCCGAAAATAAACGCTCACGAAAGACCTAGACAAACTGACGCTTAATAACCGCGGAAAGAGAGCTGTCCGGAGATGAGAGAACAAATGCGGGTGACATGGGCGACGCCGGAGTGAGAGCACACATTCTGTGAAACATCTTAACGGGACACAAGGGCAAATTGGGCATAGCAACTAAAGGCAAAAGTAAATGACGTTTACCAGTCTGATTAGTTTTAGACCACTTAAAAGCGACAGTGAGACCATGGGGGGCTGAAATGATATCCCCTCTACACAAATGCTTACGACAATCAAAAGATCACGTAGAAAGAGGAACGATGTTAGAAATACGTGCCATAAGGAAAAAGGGGAACAAAAAGGCACACGAAAAGGTGATATACTCTGGGGAAGAATCGACACTATGAGACAACTCAATCAACGAACGTAGAAAGAGGAACGATGTTAGAAATACGTGCCATAAGGAAAAAGGGGAACAAAAAGGCACACGAAAAGGTGATATACTCTGGGGAAGAATCGACACTATGAGACAACTCAATCAACGAAAACAGAATGGAGGGCGTGACAGGAGGCACATATGTAGGGCAATGTAACGCCATCCTGTCAATACCACGAAGCGTAATTCTAATGCAAAAAGGTGCGAAGTGAGGGGAAATCATGACCCAAGCGACGTGTAAAAACTTGACCCCACGAAGATAATTACACACCGAGGCCGGCGTTAAGGATCTGCTTAAAAATTGAGAAAACAAACAAACAGTATCAACCGTGGCTGATAGAAAATCGAACGAAAAATATAAACAAAACAATAAATATGTCCGCCACTGCGTGAGGTGGTTCTTATGTGTCCCTGCCCCAAAGGCTGCCTTGCGAGTGACCTTTAAATCTCGCCGCAGTTCTCGTAGTTCACGATCTATCAATAAAGAAGAAGTAAGAAAGGCTAATTATTAATCGTAGACTGTGAAGACATCAGGAGGCACAGGGACTGGACTCAAACGAGAGAACACGGGAAGTAGC